CCAACTATAACCTAATCTTACATCAACAGAAACAACAGAAGAATTTTGCCGTTTTGTTTTGTTTTGCTCTTTATCATCACTGCAAACCCGTAAATAATCCTCGTTTCCTATGGTATGGTAAAATAAGTCAATTTAATTGTGTGCAAAAAGAACATCTAGGTTTCGCACTTTTTTCCTAACTGTAACCCATTATACCAATGAACTTAGTCAGTGCAGTCAACAAAGATTAAGTAGAAGAAAAGAAAGAAAAAAAAAAGAGCACAAAAGAAGATAAAACAAATTACTCACCGTTAATTTTCTGTTGTTCCAGAACTTCTTTATATTTTTCGCTGGTTTCATCCACCGAATCACCGTCGGTAATAGCTGTTTTCTCAACATTATCAACATCGATAACCATATTTTCAGGAACAGTAGAAGAATAAATCTTGTTTACCACGTTTTTCTTCCTTCTTTCTTCCCTTCGACTTATTTTTTTTTGACAATTTCTTCTCTTCTTGCTCTCCTCTTTTTTTCTACAGTTTCATTATGCCAAAGTTCAAAAAGTTTGATTCAAAAACCTGCAAAACAAATAAATGAGTTTCAATTGCTGATAGTCTTTGCCTTCGATTTTCCCTCGTTTTTTTTTTTTTTTTTTTTTTGCGCTGATCACAACCTCAAATAGAATTCCATATAGAAAGGAAAAATAAAGCATGAAAAAGAAAAGGGAAACATAAAGAAAAAGGAAATACGAAGTGCATTCATCATCATATAACACAAAAGTCAAAATGAAAAAAATTAGTTTAGAAAGTAAAAAAAAAAATGGCGAAAAAGAAACGATGATGAAAAGAGGTAAAAGAGGATAAGAGGTTGGTAAAGACAGAAGAAAAAAAAAAGGCAAAAAAAGTTTTTTGTAGAACAAAGTTCAGCGACGGTTTGCTGAAACAGCAAAAGTTTTAATCACATCGTTAAAGAAATGCCAATTCAACCACATTATTAAACCATAAGCAATTTACATTCGTTACACCACAATCACTGTTATCGTCGTCATCATCAGCCATTATCAACAGTGCTGTTTATTATCTGATAACCGGTAATATAGCCTCATTAAACTAGGATTTTTAAAGCTCAGTTAGTGCTGAAAGATTCTACTTGAGAACCAGTTTATGAATACAGGACCGTGTAAACGACAATTCTATATGCCATCGTCAACATTGTCATCATCATCATCATTTCGGTCCTTTTTCCCGCTCCCTCACCTCTTCTTCCCTTTGACAAATGAACAAATAAAAAAAAAAAAGAACAAATAAAAACATAGTTAAATATCTGGTCAATAGCCGTGTTACCAGATAATCTTCGTTTTTTTCTGGCTTTCCCCTATCTTCCTTCTCTTCCTCCGCATTTCCCCGACATTCTTTTGATAAGAGAATTGAAGAAAATAGAATGAAACAACTTTTCCCGTTATAAGAAAACTTAAATAAACGACGAGTTTCCAGTTAAACCATACAGTAATTCAAACTGAGCGTTATTACGAGTAATGTAAATGTCTAATTCAGTTTTGTCTTCTCATTGTATTCGTTCACATCATATTTTTGTGGTATTATTGTAATACAGCAAATGCAACAAAACTAACAACAACAACAAAAAAAAAAAAAAAAAAAAAAAAAAA